CCAGAGCCGCCAGGTCTCAGAGGCTCTCGGTTTTTCCCCGCCCGCTGTTATAATGCTCGTCCTCGCTTCATCCTGGGGATCGGTGTCCGCGCCCTCCTGCCCTGGCCAGGAAGGGAACGTGTGCGCACCGATTGATCCTGAGTCCCCTGTGGTTTTAATTTGGGCACGTCCCTCTACAGGAGGAATTTTCAAAAATAGTCAAACCAAATCGTCTGGGGACGATGTTCCCATTATTTGCCAATCTGTTTGAATCTGTTTTTGACTATTTCTCATCTTTCGCCCAAAATCCGTCTGTAGGAGGGCATGCCCGACCTAACCCTGGGGTGGGCCCGGCCAGGACGGGTTGCAGGTGTGCACCTCGACTTCGGGTCCGCCGTGCTTCGGTCGATTCTCTTGGCCTGCCACCCCCCTCGAAATCAAACGCAAGTTTTTCTCGGACCCCCTCGCCCCCGAATTTCCATGTTGATGGACGCGCGCGGCGCGGCCCGCGGGGTCTACAGACACATTGCAGTCGCCAGTGTCGGCGTCAACGTTGAAATCGGGGGTCTGTCACTCCAACATCTCGATGCCATGTGTGCGCCGCCCCCCAAGGGGGCGACGCGCGCTCCGAGAAATCTTAATGGTATATGCTTCGTGGCGGGCGCTTGCGGGCCATACCGCTCAGGCAACGAGACACGACAAGGCTGACGCACGCCTCCGAGGAGGAATCATCGTGCTGGTATGTCCTCGTGCGTTCCATGGAACCGGGTCGAACTTTTTACGTCGCGGCGCGCCAGAGTCAGTCCGCACGCGCGTTCCGCACACCAGGAGACGGCATTGCGCATTGTCCCGCATGCAAGAGCATGGCTCGATCTAAACGGTGTTTTTGCGATTTTGAGGACCGCTTTCGTTTCGAGCTCGTTTTGCAGCAAAGGCGGGACGAAGACGCAACGAGGGACAGCGAAAGCAAAACGTAGACGGAAGACACTGTTTAGGTCGAGCCGTGTGCAGGAGAGGAGGAGAAGAAGACGGGGCGGCCGCGGGAGAGGCAGGACAAGGGGGGGCGAGCGCGCTCACGCGGCGAGGCTGCAGCGGGGCGCGGGGCGCGGCCGAGCCGGTGAGCTGTGTCGAACACGCGCCCCGATCGATGCGAGAAAGTTTGGCGGAAGCTCCCGCCTCGCAAATCGGGGCGATCGAAATGGGTACGGGAAGAACGGGCACAAAGACCGACAGCAGTTCCTGTTCATTTTGAACAGGACTCGCTGTCCGCGCCGCCGCGGACGTTGCCCCTTGTAGGCACGAAAGCCGCCCACCCAACGGCGGCCGCTGTCGGTTTTGGACAGTTGTCCTTGGGCATCGTACCCATGTTCTTGGTATCTTGGGCGCCAAAACAAACGTAAGGGGGTATTTCCGCAAGCGCATGTCGAAAGCAGCGGCGGCAAAGTGGCTTACACGGGATCGCCCAGACTGCGGCGGATCCGAAAACAGGGTATCCCCACCAGGCCCGCACGACACGTTCGGCGAGGCAGCACGCTGGCCCCGTTGCAGCGACTGGGCGCTGTTGTCATCATACACAGGGCTACGCCTGGCTCGGCGTTATAGGTGCGGCCGTGCAGTGAGTGATCAGCTCCCCGCTATTGCAGTCGCCCCTCCTTTCGCAGTGCAGTCTGCGTTGCTGTCGTCAACTGCACACCGTTATTTCGCCGCACTGGTTGTGTCGCTTTCTGTGTGCGCACGCTGGCGTTAGCCGCAGGTGGTCCTTCGCCGATGCACTTCAGTGATCTTTTCTGATGGCATCCCTCGTGGTCCACCCAGCCGTGGTGCTTGTAAGTACGTAGCGCTTGGCCCTAGCTCCACCACCATACAGGGTGCTGCCTAGTGTCTCTGCTCGCTCACTTCGCCCGGTTTTCCCACCTGCCCTCCACCCAGCCGTGGTGCTTGTAAGTACGTAGCGCTTGGCCTTGGCTCCACCACCATACAGGGTGCTGCCTAGTGTCTCTGCTCGCTCACTTCGCCCGGTTTTCTGTGTTGGCGCCGCCTTGGCGACATTCAGCTGCCTCTAATTTAGTACGTGTACTGTGCATGTGCAACTGCGAGCTCGCTTGCAGCTGCGGTCCGCTGCCTACAGTGGCGGCTGGATCGCCAATTTACAATGCGCCGTGGCCCGGACGTTGTGACCGCTCCCTGGGGTTTTCCTAGGAGCCGCCGAGTAAAAAAGTATCCCCACCATGTTCGCCTCGGTTAGCCGATTTAAGCGTGGCATGTCTCCGCTGCTTTAGTCTAATTCGTCGCTGCGTGGCCCGCTTTGACCTGACTCGCAGCCGGCGCGCTCGCCCGCGGTCGCTGACTAAAATGTATCCCCACCAGCCTTCGTTTGGTTTTCCTTACCGCTGGTCCATGGTCGTGGTACTCCATGCTCGTTCCTGGCGGGTTCATGACTCTCGACGCTTGGCATGTGGTGTACGCAGGGTGCAGGGCACACTCTGGTTCTGGCGCTGGGCTTGCACCTTCAGAACGACGCGCTCCTGGTGGTCCCGGGCGCGATCCCGCGCCTCTGAGCGGCGTTGCATTATTCTCCTGCTCCCCTCCTTCGTCGCTTTCGTTTCGGCCTCCCCTTTTTTTCCGTTTTGCCAGCTGTAGCTTAGGCTCTTGCCTTCTGCTGCGTAGGCTTGGCTGTCGCTTGACTTACGGACGCCGCGCGGCTGCCCACTAGCGGTCGGTAAACAAAACAGTACCCCTACCAGCCCATCCAGAAACGATCAGCAGGAGAGTCGGTGAATCAGGGGCGGCAGGACGCATGCAGTTGCGCAGCCGTTTTCGGGAAAACAAGGATCACAAAGAGCTTCCTGCATTGAAGTTTAAGATGGAAATCGGTGCTAGCTACGATGGTTCTTCGATGAGGGGTGCGGGGTGTTTCAACGATTTGTAATGGCCATCGCGCACTGAATTGTATCTTAAACTCGCTTGCGTTTCGAATCCTGGAGCCAGATTGGGGCTCTCTTGCGGTTTTTCTTGGGCACTCTTGGGGCCCTCCTGGAGCTGTTTCTTGGGGCTTTCTTGAGGTCCTCTCAGGGCCTTTTTGGAGCCCTCTTGGTTGTTTCTGGTGCGTCTTAGGGCCCTCTTGGGGTTCTTTGGGGGGTATGGGGGCCTTCTTGGGGCTCTGTTGGGATGCCTGGGGGGTCTCTTGGGGCCGTCTTGGACCCTTTCGTTAAACATGATGGGGGGATCTAATGCGGATCGCCCCCTCGGAGGTTCAAAATGCCCTCTTGGGGCCTTCTTGGCCCGCTGTTGGAGCGCTGTTGGGCGCTTTTTGGGGCCGTCCTGGGGTCAAGCTATCTTGGGCCGTTTGGGGGCCATCTTGAGGCCCGAAGAGCCCATCGGAGGCGAAAAAACGAGAAGGCAAAAACCATTGATTTCCCGTAGGTTGTTGATGGGTTTTGGCCTCTTGATGGGGTCCTTGGAGGCCTCGGAGGGCACTTGAAGCCGTCTTGGGGCCGTCTTGGACGTGTGTCGGAGGCTATCTTGACCCATCTACCGCAATCTTGGACCATCTTGGAGGCCATCTTGCGTTTTCTGAAGCCCTTTTGGAGCCACCTTGGACCAAAAAGGACCCTCCGCCACATCGCGGCGGAGCCCGTCCAGACGCAGGGAGGGGGGAGGTAAACTTCTCGGGCAGGGAAGGGAAGGAGGTTGGAAAACGAAACGCCCTAGACCACCTGCGCCCAGAGGGCTGGTGGGATTTTGGCTCAGCGTGTCGCTCCGCCGGCTCTGGCCCACCATTCGTCGGCGCGACACGCCGTCCACGTCCCAGTCCCAAGGCGTCCACGTCCCGAGTTTTCCCAGCCTCCCGCCCCGCGGAGCGGAGCGAGGCGCTATCCGCTCGAAGGGCATAGCGTGTCGCCGGGGCCGCCGCCGCGACGCGCTAATCAAAAGTTCCCGACTTTCTCTGATGAGGGCGGCGGCGATACCAATAGCCCATCCACGTTTGGTATTTCATTGGTTTCTAGAGCCTTCCGGGGCGGCCTAACCGACCCCAAGACAACCATCCCTTTCCGTGACGTTCCCCCCGCCTCACCCCAAGACGTATGTATGCGGCCGAAGGGGAGCTTTGAAGGCGAGGATGGCGTCACGGAAGGTGCTGGTCACAGTAGGGGTCGGTTAGGCCGCGCCCGAACCTTGGATTATTTATCCAATTTGTTTATGCATCCAATGCCCTCGCCGTCCTCAGACCTCCGACGCCATGATTTTTTCAGAACGTCGACCCCAGACGTCTCGACCCAATCCCTGGCATCGGTTTTCCACCCCAGGCCGGTTTTTGACGGTCCCCAGGCCTGGCGAGTCCCCCATAGGTCGAAAATAGGGAAACCCCCCCCGTCGTGATTTTCTCATGACTCGAGGGGGCCTGGGTGCATCCAGTGCCCTCGCCGTAGCTGGCGCCCTCCAATAGGTCACTCGGCGGGGGGCCAGCTCGCGCTGGCGGCCTGCTCGCGGGCGGCGGCGCTGCAGGACGCAGGGGCCGTGCGCCCTTGCCTCTGCATCTGGAAGGCCAGGGCCACTGCGCGGGCAGGAGCGCTCGGAGGTCCGCGCGGGCTTCTCGGGCCGACGCTGGGTTCCCAGACGTGCTTGCGCCATGGAAGAATCAGGACGGGAGGCTTTTCGCTATCAGCCTCTCGGGGCCCTCACCGGGCCCCGGGACCGTCGAAAATTGGCTCAGGACGAAAAACCGGTCCTGGGGAAAGGGTCGGGTTTTGCGGGGACCGCGCATTGAAAACATCAGGACGTCGCATGTCTGGGTCTCTAGGCCTCCCAGATGGGGTCCGAGTGGATAGGGTCGGAGGATCGCGCCGCATCGCCGATGGATCGCCGATGTGGCTCGATGTGGAGCCCAGTTTTCTCCACGCCGACGGCGCCGATGCCTCGTCGAGGAGGCCTCTAGGGCCGCCTCCCCGCCACCAGCGGGCGGCGCCTCCGGCGGCGGGCGAGGCGCGCTTTGGAAGGGGCTTGGGTGGGGAGGGGGCTCCAGCGCCGCCCCAAGAAGTTCGGGAGGACCTCCGATCGTTCACGCCTGTGCCGTCGCCTGCCCTTCTGGCATCTCCGTGGCGTCCGTGCCCGACATGCTGCCCGGGTACGCGGCCAAGCTGTCCGACGAGGGCGACGCCATCCGTGCGGCCCTTGGAAGGGGAGGGGCTCCGCCCGGCTACTGCTGCAGTTGCTGGGCCGGGTCCCCAGCGAACAGTGCGGCCACGCGTTTCGCCCCCCCGCCCCCCCAAGGAGGGTCTTCAAGCCCTAATATCACGCCTGTCGTTCAACATCGACGGAGCATCGTCGATGGGACTGGAGGCGGAAGATGCCGTCCCGCCCCCCCTTTCTTGCTTCCCTCCCCTCCCCCCTCTCCTTTCCTCGCCCTCACCGTCGATGCACCTCCCCCGTCCCTCCTGCGTCCCTCCCCCTCGCCCCCTCCCTTCCCCCCCCCCCCCCGCGTCGATGCAGCTTCCCCCATCCTACTTCGCGTCGATGCAGCTTCCCTCCTGCGTCCCCCCCATCCGCATGCTTCCTCCTCAAGGCCCGCACGGCCGGGCAGCCTGGACCCGCGCCCCATCCATGTCGCAGAAGCCCAGGCCACCCCCCGCGGCGCCAAGGCCCTCGCGCTTCGCGCACAGAGCACCGCGGCTCGGCGCCCTTCTCTCTTTCCAGAGCGGCGGCGTGGGGCGCTCGACGAAAAGCGCGCGAAGCTCGGCAACCTGCTCCGCAGAGCCCGTGGGAGCCGACCGCCTCGTTTTCTCGACGACCATGACAACGACAACGACTTTTCGCCGGAGTGGCCTCCGGAGCGGGCACACTGGGGTCCCCAGATGTCTGAACGCGGTGCGACAGCAGCGTCTTGGTGAGCGTTTTTTCCCCCTCCACAGGGTAACGCTCGTTACCAGCGCCTAGACCACCCCCTGCATTCTATGGTGCACGCAGGCGATTGTTGCGCTGGTGCGCGGACGCACCCTGCCGGGTGCACGCCGCGGCCGCCGTCACCGTTACCCTCCCGCCCGACCCCCCCCCAGGTACCGACCGTTACCCAGGAAAGGAAAAATCGGTCACCTGCTCGCTCAGGTTTGGCCTCCCCCGACCCCCATAAAGTCGCGCACCACACATCTCTCTTGCCTACAGTGAACCCGCATAGCGAGGATGAGCAACTTGCTAAGGTTGCCCTTGCATCCTTGCCCCTTCGGCCCATGCCTGGCAACTTTCCCTGGCCAGCCCCTTAGGGGCGCCCCGCTCGAAACACGCCAACATGGCTTTCCAAGGCCCTTCCATCCTTACTGCGCATCCCTATTATACGTGTTCACCAGAAGGTCACTCTTCCCATATGCGACGCCCCGATTTTTCAACACGCGTTTCCCAGGGACGGGTTGTTCGTCCTGAGTCCGGTCCCGGGGCCCTGCGAGGGGCCTCCAGAGGCCAGAAACGGTGAAAAACATCCGTCCTGAATTTTTGTTGAGACGCGATCATGTCTGTGTTGCGTGTCGCCGATCTCCCCTTTCGGCCGCCCGCCGTCGAGCGGTACCTTTCCGCCTCCTTCTCCTCCTCCGTCGCCTCCTCCTCCTCCTCCTCCTCATCTGCCTCCTCTGCCTCCTCCTCCTCCTCCTCCTCCTCCTCCTCCTCCTCCTCCTCATGTGCGTCCTCTCCTCCTCTCCTCCTGTGTCACTGGGCTTCGCCGATCCTTCCTCTCCTTCTCCTCCTCCTCCTCCTCCTCCTCCTCCTCCTCCTCCTCCTTCTCGGTGTCCTTCTGGGCCACTGGGCTTCGCTGGGCGGTCCACGGTGTAGCCGATCTCCCCTTCGGGCCGCCCGCCGTCGAGCGGTATCTCGGCTTCCACCCCGACTCCGCGGCGCGCCGGCGGATCTACGAGGACTGGGCGGCCACTCGGGGGCGCGAAGGTCAAGAGGGGAAAGAGCATGGACGCAAGGAATCGTCGATTCCAAGGAGAATCGGAGGTTGAGAAGAAGGGGGAGGAAGAGGAAGAAGAAGAAGAGGAGGGAGAGAGGGCGGAGGACGAGGAGGCGGCGGAGGAGGAGGAGGAGGAGTAGAAGGAGGAGCAGGAGGAGTGGGAGCAGGAAAAGGAGAAGGGGGGTGAGATCGAAGTGGAACGGGGAGCCCCCCGCCGGGAAATCGGTTTCGGTTTCGGGTTCGTGTCGTGCGTGCGGGCGAGGCGAAGCTGCGTGGGCGGGCGGGAGGGATGCCTCCGCTGTGGCTAGGGCGGGACACGACAATTGTGCGGCCCTCCCCCCCGGTGGGCGGGCGGTGGCTGGGGTGTCCCGCCGTGGTGTCCCGTCGGTGTCCCGTCGGCATCCTGTCGAATGTGACATCGATTTTGAGATCGGTCGAGTGAGATCGATAGTATGATCGACCGTCAGATTGATAATCGATTGTGAGACCGACTGTGGGATCGATGGCAAGATCCGTTGAGTGAGATCGATAGTGAGATCGGTTGTGATACCGATCAAGTAACGGTAGTGAGATAGACTGCGGGATCGGTTCATGGGGCTCTCCTGGTTCCAGTCCTAGCGACCACTCATCGGTTGCCAGCGCATGGCTCTGCCAGCGCCAGGCTCTGCCAGCGCACTTTCGCACTGAGCTCTGTGGCCCAGGCTATGCCAGAGTCTGTCGGGTTATGAGCAGTGTTGGCAGCGACTCAGTCACCGAGTCCGATGGGTTCGGGCTACCAGGGCGCAGCTCACTTGGAGGCGATAGTGCGAGCGCAGAAACAAAAACAGCACATCGCCATCAACATTCAACCGCCACAGTCAGCAAGCATCCATCACAGCGCAGTGGCGGTGGCACTGATTTGGATCCATGCTGTCCCGATGGTGTCGCGATCGTATTTAGTTCCACCCAGTGTGAGATCGCTAATGGTGTCGATCGCCTGGTCCATCTATACTAAGACTGGAAGTGAGGTCGGTCGTGAGATCGATCGAGTGAGTCCGATAGCGGGGCAGCTGGTGACATCACATCGCGCCGCAACATCGCCATCACGCGTCGTCGCCAACTCTAGAGCGTGCCACTAGCATTGCTTTCATCACACCCATCGCAATTTCCAGAAGTTGGTTCTTTTCTCTCCCGACAACCTCCTTTTCACCCGAAGGATGGTCGTATAGGTGTGGAAAATATGGAAACTGGAAGGGGACACGAACAACCAGGAAAGACTGAGAATATGGGAGTCCTGGGACTTGCATGCGTTCATTTGTGTGCCCCTGGGCCCCTTCAAGGGTGGTTGTGGTGCGGCGCGCGGCTCGGCAGTGACTTGCGTGCAGACTGGCCATGACATGGGCGAGCTGTCCTTCGGCATTGGGGGGGAAGTGGGTCCCGAGGGCAACGGGTCCTGAGGGTTTTCGCTGGTTTCGGGCTCTCGGGGCCCTCACGGGGCCTCGGGGCTAGTCAACAACGGTTCAGGATGAAGAGCGGTCCTTGGGAATGGGGCGAGACCTCTGGGGAGCAACGTGATGAAGCACTCATGGCGTAGGGGAACGGGTCCTGAGGTTCTTCACCGTTTGCGGGCTCTCGGGGGCCTTCCACGGGCCCCGGGACTGACAGAAAAGCTCGTTCTGGGGGAAGGCACCAGGGACCAGGACCCGCTTCCCTAAGGACGCGTTTCCCCCTGTGCGAATGTTGCCCTCGCCCGCCTTCGATACGATCGAAATCGATTCGGAAGCAGTGGGCGCGACGTCGGGCAGCATCTCTTGTTCACTGTGATCAGGGCTCGCGGTGTCGCCGCGGACGTGGTCCATTTGAGACAGAAGGCCGCCCGCCCAACAGCGGCCGCTGTTGGTCTTGGACAACACCTGCTGTTGGGCATCGTGCCCGTTGCTTCCGTGCCCATCTCGGGCGTCCAACCCCCTTGCGGGACCCATCGATGCCGACGCCAACCTCGAGAGGCCGTCGATGTGAGGTACATCGGGTCCCCTCGGGGGCGTCATCAAGGGCCACAGCTCCCCCAGATGTGGCTGGTCGGGCGTGCCCGTTTTGGGCCTCCGCCTCCGGGGCCCCAGCGCGGGGGGGGGGCGAGGGGCCTCGGCCTGGTCCAAGGGCTCGCCCGGAAGGCCGCTGCCTCCGGCGACGCCCCGCAGGAGGGAGGGAGCTAGGGAGGGAGGGAGGGGAGGGGAGGGAGGAGGGAGGAGGGGGAAAGGAGGGGGGAAAGGGGCCCGAGGGAGGAGGGTGGAGGGCACTGCGGAGTGCGGTGGGAACGGGGGGGGGAAGGGAGTACGGGTATGAGTACGACCATGAGACGAAGTCTGACCCTCAAAGCACGCACACTGATCACCGTGACGGCCTCCAGGAGCCGGTAGACCAGCAGCACGAAGCAGTACGCTCTGGGCGAGCGTACGCTCGCGACAGCGCCTTTGAGTATAGAGTTACGTTGACCAAGGACTATACGCCACATCGGTGGCACAATGCTATAAACATAGCCGCGAACTTCATCTGTCTTGAATGCAGAAGGCCAGCGAGCGACGTAAAACGACAACCTGATGCGAACAACCCATGCGCCCTCGGGTCCCTCGAGACGCAGAATGCGAGCACGGCTGCGAACTTCACCAGCATTGAGTGCAGAGGGCAAGCACCAAACTTACACAAACAACGATTGTGCGGACAAGCCGTTCACGGCCCCGGCCCTGCCCCTCGACGGCCCCCCAGGGCCCGGCGAGGGACCCCAGGCTGGGCACGTGGCCAAATCCCAGGAGATCCCTCCTCTTCCTCCTCCTCCTCCCCCTCCTCCTCCTCCTCCATTTTGGCTCAAGTGCTGAGGGCAGTTGGGGCACACTGCTTTTGCACCTGAGTGGGCAGCTCCCTTTTCGGAGCGAACTTGCGTGCGAGCGCAAACGGACATTTTGTTCTTCTCCTCCCATCCCCACGTGAGCTGCCCGCCTCGTGGGTTTCCCGCTCGCCATGGCTCTCACCAAAGAGCACATGGACCAGTGCTTCAACCAGATGATGGAGCGGATGGGCCTCGTCTCGTCCGAGATACTCGCTGTTCGGAGTTCCCTCGCCACGACTGATCAATCCGTTCAAGCTCTCACAGCGCGTGTTGCCATACTAGAGTCCTCCGCCACCGGCTCCCTCAACGCCGCCGCCGAGGCCGCCCTCCTCGCCAAGGTCGACGCGAAGATGGCCAAGCTCGAGGGTGACCTTGAGTCATCTGCAGTTGGAAGCTCCTCAGGCAGTACCGCAGCAGGTTTCTCGCATTCCAGTCGGAAAAGATTTCGGATATTCGGGTATGGCTCTGGACACGGTGGCGACCACATCGCAGGTCACCAAACCAGCGACGACCATCTCCATGACAAAACAAAAGCATGGATTGGTGGTTTCCCTAGGGAGTTGCTTGCTACGACACTGAGAGCCCACTGGGAGACCATCCAGACCACCGCCGCTCAAGGTACCTCGTCTCCGCCTACGCCCAAGATCTTCGCCCTCTCCACTTCCGATTCCATCATTTCTGCGTCCGCCGAGGAGTGCAGCTCTTTCATCAACGCCGTGCGTCAGAACCCGCTTCTCATTCAATGGCAAGATCCCAGGACAATGGAAAAGATCTCGCTCAAAGCTCGTCACGACCAAAGTGTTGGCACTCGCAAGAAACAGCGAGTGATGGGCAACATGTGGGAAGCTGTTCTTGCAGTTCTCAAACGCCACTCCAAGTGGACCCAGGAGTTCAAGCTTGGGACTGATGGCCCTCGCGGGCTCTTATTCGCGCAGAACGTTGTCGACTGCTGGGAGCTCTTCCACCTGTCTCCCAACGCCACGGGCTCGTTCGACATCAAGCCGTGCGTATCCAACCTCATCGAGTGGGGCTTCGACGAAGCTCAGTACACCAGCATCATCGCCGACACGCTGCAGAAGGTCGCCCAGGAAGACGCTGCTCGCGTCGAGTGAAGTAGGGCCAAGCCGCGCTGCTCTGTTGTGCCAGGCTCCCCTCTGCCATCTTCGTCTTCTGTCTCTTCCTCCTCCTCCTCCTGTTCAGATAGTGATGTGAGCTCGTCGCTTGAAGTTGTTCCTAGTCGGGCACGCAGGCAAGTTTGAACGCAACCTCGCTCGCCATCCGCCCACTGTTCTTCTGATTTTCCGTTCTTCCCCCCTCTTCCCTACTCATCGTCACTTGGAATATCGCCACGTTCTTCGCCAGCATCCATTCCGATCGCATCCTCCGCAAGCGCAAGCAGAAGCTCCTCACCACCCTTTTACGCAAATATCATGCCATTATTATGCAAGAAACGCATGGACAGCGCGAAGATCTGGAGAACCTACGACGCGAATATCATGGTTTTCGATGTTTTGGGACGTTTTGTATTACCTCTTCCTCGGGCGGTGTGGTTATCATGATCTCTGAACGTTTCTCCAAGGCTTTCTCCCAGGTGATTGAAACTCCGATTGCTTCTGGAAGGGCCCTCCAGGTTCTTCTCCGCGGCGAACTGGGAGTGCTACAGGTCTGTGGCATTCGCGTCGACCCGAGTGTCCCTCCTGGAGGGAAAAGGGAGTTCCCCGACCGAGTTCATGCTCACATGTTACCGCCTTCGCAGGCTATGAGCGTGATTGGGGGCGATTTCAACTTCTATGCTGCTGGGGGGCAGCGAGAGTATCTTGCCGGCCAGCTGGCCGAACCGCAGGAGCCTTCAACGTATGGAGTACGTTCTCATGTTGATGCTAAGTTCTCCTCCTATATTGAAGTTGAACCGACAGCGCCCACCCATCATAAGACGACTGATGGGGGTTATTCAGTCCGTTGCTCGTCTTGATCGACTCTATCTCAACTGTCCCACTTCTACTCTTATCGACCTTCGACCGACCACTGGAGTTATTGGCTCCTCCTATTCTCTCCCTGCTGCTAGTGATCACGTCCCTGTCTTTCTTGGTCTACATCCCGCATGCGGACCCTTTGCTCCCCGTATCCCGTCCTGGGTCTCCAAGCATCCTATATTTTAACCTCGACTCATCACCTCAGTCACCGTCCTGCCACTGCTCTGGCTGAATTCAAAGAGATCGCGTTCATAGCAAAACAGAACACTTTGCGAGAGCTCGAGGGATATGGCCCTACACTAGACAATGAGAAGATCTCCTGGATGCTTGCCGCCTCTCGAGCATGCCGCCTCCAACGGGGCGGAGTCCTGCGACGAGCATGCCGCGCCTTTCCGACTCTGCTCCAGTTTTTCAGCCTTGAGTCGAATGAGCTGATCGATGCCGAGGGGTTCCACAAGTACCTCACCGAGCTTAATCGCCAGTACAGTGACAGGCTTATGGATGAGAACCACAAATCCGATTCCCCTCCCAAAAAAAAAGCCGCCAGGACCTAGGCCTTGCAGGCCATCCAAGGGGCGCGGTCGTTTAAGCTCCGTCGGCTCTCTCTTTCCCGCGTTCTTGACAGTGAAGGGATCCCTGCTGAGGACCCCGATGCTGCAGCCGAGCTGCTTCGGACCCACTGGTCTCAGGTCTTTGCGCCCCGTCAGGTTGAGGATGAGGCGATTCAGGCCTACGTGCCGTATGTACAGGCTGCCCCCCCTCTCTCATCCTTCACTCTTCCGTTTATTCAGTTCCAGGAACTTCTCCAGGGGCTCTGGGATTCGGCCCCTGGGCCCGACGGGCTTCCGTGCTCCGTGTGGGGGGGGGCCGCGATAACGGTGCCAGGATTTTATAGGATTTCTACCTTTACTTTCTTCGCACCCAGCAGTTGCCGCCCGATTTCAACGAAGCCCTCGGCGTCTTCCTGCCCAAGGGCCCCCAGCCAGGCGACGACGTCCAAGTGAGACGGGAAGCCGATGCGACCAGGCCGATCAGTTTAAGTAACTCCGACAACAAATAATTTCGAAAGCCATCAATTACTTCCTTCGAGATGTTGCTGAGATCACGGTTAACCATGTTCACAGGGGTTTCGTTCGAGGGCGTCAACTCGTCGACAACCTAATCGAAATGGAGTCGCATGCCTTGGTCTGGGGTAGTGTCGAAGGGCATCCTCTAGCTGGGCCCGCCATGTTTGACATTGCCAGCGCCTTCCCCTCCATCTCCCACACCTTCCTCTTCGCTGTCCTGCGCGTCATGCAGCTGCCGCTGCCGATGATCGGCATGCTGCAAGCTCTGTGCCAGGACATGGATATGACCATCGTCTTTCGTGGCCAGAGGTACGGGAAGATCCAACGCCGCCGAGGGGTGAAACAGGGGTGTCCGCTCTCTGGGACCATGTGGGCCCTCGTCTTCGATCCAATTGTTCGGAAGATGGTTCAGGCCATTCGTATCTCCCCCTCGCGGCTTTGTGTTTCCGCCGACGACATAGGAGTGGTGGCAAGTAACCTAATTGAGACTTTCACGGCGCTCATTCACGAATTTGCACGTGCCGCACGAGCGGCCAGTCTGCATCTCAGTCTTGGGAAAACCGTGCTTGTCCTGTTTGATGCCCCCCCCCCCATCGGAAGTTTTCGGTTGCTCCGCCTCCGCGGAATCAAAAGCCAGAGGTTTAAAGTTTTTGCGGTCGGGCCGTTGCCTCGGCCTGCTTCTCGGAGTCGGGGGCCCCGGGGCCTCTTGGACTGGGCCCCTGGCCGCTTTCGCCGCGCGGATTTCCCATATCAAGACTCTGGGTTTAGGTTTGCTCCCGAGCATCTCCGCCTACGACCTCCTCGCCTTCCCCACTCTCATGTATGTTGGACAGTTCTACCCACCCTCTCGTCAAGTTCTCAATGCTGCTCGAGAAGCCCATCAACAACTGACTAACGGTCCCCGACATGCCTTCCCGCCTCCTCTTCCCCAGCACGCCAAGAAGATCTTTTTGGACATCCAGCCCCGCCACCTTGAGATCGAGTGTCGTGCTGCAGCATTTCGAGTAGCAGTAAAGAGTCCAGCGTTTGAGCGGTGCAGGCAAATTTTAGCAGATGCCCAAGAGAGTGATGAACGCCTCCTGGTTCCTAAGCACCAGAAGTGGGCCTCCGAGTCTTTGTTCTCCCATCCCATCCGTACTCATGATCAACTTGCTGCTATTCCTGGGTTCTTCTCTCATACTACCCTCCGACCCCAAGCCAAAGTATCTCGCTATCTTCGCGATGCTCTTCCACCCCCCCCCCCCCCCCCCCATCAATATGTATCTTAAAGTCCGCCTTCAGCATTTTGAACCAAGTATTTCGGGCAATGAAGCCGAGACCTGTTATTGGCATTCTGAGATCATTGGAAAACATTTGCCTCGACATATTCGGATCGCCGTCCTCAGATCTATCCTTTATGGGTGGAGTACTACAGGGAGATACAAGCAGGGCCCATCAGAGCTGTCGGTTCGGATGTTATGTTGTCGGAGGCGACCACGTGCGGCACTACTTCGGCTGCCCAGTGACCATCCCTCCTCTCACTTCTATCCTGCCCTGCCTGCCCGACGATTTTCCCCTTTTCTGCGTTCGCCAACGTATGCTCTTCCATCTACCTCTCTATTCGGACGTTGACCAGGTGCTTTCCATGGCCATCGCCGCTGATCTCCTTCTTTCGTCTCGCCACTCCTTGCGCGCCTCCCACTCCGTCCGCAGTCCACGCAGATTAATGGCGGCCCGAGCACGGGCACTCACTCGGAGAAGCGAGGTAGCTGCCCGCCTATTTCGCGGTGGCTGAGCTGGACTCGGGCTCATCTCTCTCCCGTCGCCTCGTGTCCGCCTCTTTATGTTATTTCCCTTGCTCGCGTCTTGTCCGCTTGCCTCCTCTTGTGGTCCTTTCCCTCCTCCTCCCTCTCCTCCTCCTCCTCCTCCTCCTCCTCCTCCTCCTCCTCCTCCTCATCCTCTCTTCCTTCGTAGCCATTTTGGCTCAACGCCAAAATGTTCCCCTTCGAACTGCCTCAGCGGGGTAGGCTCCCATTCGATCCCCGCCCCTTCAGGACAGCACGGCGACGCCATAGACGACCTCAAGACCACGACCGCAAGCAGCAGCGACCTCAACACCAGTCGCGCGATGAACGGAGAGGCGGTGCAGGGCGCCCTGGTGGTCTCCATCCACGTCCTGGCGGCGCCACCGCCCCTCTCCCGCTTCCTATCCATCTTCCCTCGCAAGACTCGTTCATTGCCGCTCACGACGCCGCTGCTACATGTCCTTCGCAAGAACGCGTCGAGGATCCCCTGGCGCGTGCTGACCCTTCGCAAGGACGGCGTGCAGATCGACAGCCTGATCAAAAAGAGCTTCATCCTGGCACCGCGGCAACTGGACCGGCGGCTGCCTCAGCAGCTAGTGGCCTGGAGGCGCTCACGAAAGCTTTGCAGGGCCAGCTCACGGCCCGCGGCGACACCACCTTGGCCACTTTCCAAGCGGGCACAGCTCGCACCGTCGCCAAGGCCACCCATAACTCCCAGTCGCTCCTCTCCAGGCGCATCGATGGCACCGAGGGCGAGATTGCATCCTTGCAGCAACGCATCTCCGCTTCTGAGAAGGCCCAGGACGAGACGAAGCAGGCTGTCGCCGACATACAGGAGCACTTGCTTTGGCGGAAGCTCATGTGCCCATCGACGACCTGGTGGCGGAGGCAGACTTCGACAGAGTCCCCGATCCCGCTGTCTTCACGGTAGGCTGCGCCGAGCGCGCAGTCCAGCTCAAGTTCAGCAGGGCATTGCAGCTTGGTTCTCTGATTCAGGAGTGGATTGGTTCAACGCTACTCTCGTGGGAGACGCCCCGCCACGCGGTTCGTCGTTCGACTTCTCGGAGGCCCAGCTCTTGCTGCCCCCCGATCTGCTGCCCTCGCTCGAGGCCTCCGCGTGCAGGGGGGGCGCGTGGAGACAGTTCCAGACGCAGGCGGTCACTGGGCAGGCACCGCAGCTAAACGTCAATGCAGATCGCAGCCCTCGGCAGATTCGGCGCGAGATTCAGGCGCGTCGGCTTCGTCGGCTCCTCTCAGATGCTCTGCCCAACGCAGACCTTCGTCCCTG